TTTCACATTAATCCTATAATAGCAGGCTATAAGTCAGATCTACCATTTCATTTTATCATAATTACTGCAATAGTCACAGTAAACCATCCTGAAATATTTTAATGTTTAAAAATCACCTCAGTGTTGTTATCGGAAAAAACACTAGCTGGCAATATTATGTTCTAGCCCTTTAATTTCCTATAATAAAATGAACAGTGAAAATAAAAATGAAATAATTCTGGAAACAATAAGGAAAAATAAGTTGTATATTAGCTAGAATTTAAATCAGCTGAAAATACCTTTAAATTATTTTATAATCAGCACTAGTTCACCACTCTGATACAAATACATACAAGAACAAAACCCCTGAAACATGGAGTAACTTTTTTCTTAAATTGTAAAAAATTATCTAAGAAGTTTAATTTAAGAAGCTGAAAAATTTTACATATTTAAAGCACCTTTATCACTAGGCATAATTTCTACACCAACAGGACAAACCCATAACATTTTAATAACGTATAAAGTGGTATGTCATTCTACAGAAACACGGTTGGAACCAACTTCGATTACGAAATAGTACTCAGCTCATCAAGATAAAAATCTGTCCACTGTAAGGCCTATAATACAGACAAATTCAGTAACTTCCATCTTCTGCCAGTGTTGTTATGGTCTGTTGCTATTCAAGGGGAAAAAAGCTAAGGAGATCCCAATATATAGGCAATGCCATACTCTGAGTAGCTAAGATAAAAACAGGAGCAAGACTTAAGCTTATAGTCTGGATGAAGCGATAGACAAATCTGAGAAATTTCATTTTGGTGACAAGCCTGGTAGTGGTTTAAAAATAAAGATCACACTAGCCATCATCTTGCAGTATACATTCAGTCTTTAATATGCCTACCTAACACTACAGTGTCCTTTCCACAGAGGCAGAAAGAAATACCGAAGGATAATACAGAAGACAAGTGTAAAGAGAAGTAACAGACCTGCTGCCATCGCCTGTAGATATAGATATGAGATGCCTGGTTTGCATACATCTAAACATCTGACTGAGCCAGGAAGGCATAGGGAACTTCATTATCAAAAGAAGATGAAGTGGAACTGTGGAGACAACAAACAGGCATTGCCTTAGGTCTGAGAGAGACTGATATCTTTGGGAGGGAAGACTGTCCTGAGGCAGGTATGCCATCTGATCTTAACAACCAGAAAGTGTCAAGTAGTGGAACAAGCTCTATCTGCAAAGAAAACAAATGTCCCTACCTCAAACAGGGTGGGACGCTGGCTTTGGTCCTTTCTGTAACAGGCTCTGAAAGACCCTATGGAAGGGTACACTAGAAAACACCAAGTCCTTTCCTAAAAGCAGATGAGTGTCCCAAGAGATATGCTAAGGGAGGCAGGCTGGAAAGACAAAAAAACCTCAATTCTCTTTTCATTCACATGCATCAACAGGTTGTTGGAGCAGTGTTCATCCAATGAATAATTCAGCTAATTAACAGGACATTATGTTCTATCAGCACCCAATAACAGGGGATGAGTCAAGAATGGTGTTTGCTGTTGCTCCCAGTTGAGATCAGGTTCTGTTTTCTATATATGCACACAAAAGCAAAGAAATTATTCAGTAAGGTCAAGTTAGAAATTAGACTGATCCATTTTGCTGGAATTAAGTCTCTCAAATTAAGTGATTTTAAGAATTATACATACACAAGGAAAAAAACTGAAAGAGGCAGCATGACAAAAAAGTTTTCTGCCCTATTACATACCATTTTATTCATCATAGTTAACAAAGCTAAATCTGTACAAGTTTGTACATATTGCATTGAAAGAATTGTTCACTAGCTTAAAAAAATGAACAAAACAGAAACATTAAACTTATGGTCCCTTTTGCAATTTTTGTGCAGTCAATATATCAACTCAAAGCTTTTGAGAGATATGAAACAACCTTAACAATGGAAATATAGACAATAGTGCCCCCTCTGTGGCCACCTGTGACTGGTACCAAGCTTGTATCCATAGCAATCTCAAATGCAAAATTCAAATTCTGCTACATAGAAATGTGAAATTACAGCCATTAGTAAAGAATTAGATGTTTAACCAGTAAAGATAAGTTGGATCGAAACTACGTATACAGTTAAAGACATTGGTAAACATACATGACTGTTTAATTCAAGATCACATTTTTACATAGGAGAAATATTACATTCCAATCTACCAGTATGGCTTTTTCCATGAATAGGTGGACATTTTCAGATTTAAAACCCAAAACTGTTAATCGTCTAAGAAAACCAGAAAAATTTAGTTATGTTAGGAAGAATTAATATCAAGAAATGAAAGTGAGATTAAAGTGAAGTTTATAACATCAAGATAGACACCACTATCATTTAGTTTTGGAAGACATTTCACCTTTGATTTTTGTCATAACTGTGGCAGCATATTTCACCTGTGAACTTTCATCTTGGAATACTGAAAAATAAGGTGTCACTTTTTTTAATTCAATAGACCGAAATGCACCTGAGCAAAGCAAAATTAAAATTCAAAGACTAAAGAAAACATTTAGCTGAACTCAGTTTTGGCTTGTGGACATGCACAAAATTAAAAAAATAAAATAAATAAACAGCTTTCGGCACTTATCCACAGTAAGCTGTAAGGTGATTTAATAAAAGACAGCTAATAGAAGTGATCAGCTCACAATGAAACTGTACAGCCATTAGTTCACATTTAAACAATAATTCTGATTGCAGTTTTGAGCACAAAACATAACTTAAAAACCTATTTTATTCAAATTTGAAAAACTATATTGATTTTAAGTAGTTTAAATACATTCATTCCCAGTCAAAGTTTTACAGTAACTGATGATTTTCAATCACACACACAACCAAGTTATAAATCCCTGAATCCACGGATTTATCACAGGAATACTGATAAAACCTTAACAGAGACACAAATGATACATCACATAGTGTCTTACACCTTAAGTACTTGACCACCTTGGATTGGTAGATGCATCACTCCTACTGTTAGACTCTAATACCATCCTCTAGGACCAACTGGTTTAAATTGAATTCACAACAGTTTGCAGTTACCTACAAAAGATGATTTTCTCTTTTTTTTTAAATCACATTATAAAATATTCATCTTCTCAGTGGTATTCTGGAAGGAGAATTTCCCAGTTATAACAGGGACTAAACATACTTGGCAAGGAGAGCCATTGCAGTGAATTTAAGAAAGTCATTTCAAAATCAGTGCCTCTGCATAGATTTAGTATACAGCAGTACCTCCTTCAACATAAGTTAATTGGTGTGTTTATCTGCACATCTTGGGACCTCACTCTACCAGCAGATCTTGGGACTCGAAGTTAATCTCATTCTGGCACTAACTTTCTGTGGGGTAGGGCAATTTCCAAACGAAAGGCACTCTGTTATGAGTGAAATCAGAATTATCAGCAATGTAAATGGACAACTTGTAACATATTGAAGGGAACTGCTGCAGCCTACATGAGGTCTAAAATTAAGTACTTCCCTTAAAAAAGGTGGAAAAATACTTAGAACAGCTGTAGTGCATGCGTTTGCATACACACACACTAGGTACTGTACAGACAGAGACCTTCCAAGTATCTCAACTGTTTTTTTCTTTGTTTTGTTTTCGCACCAAGCTTCTAAGGTTCAGCTGCACTACCAGGTGACTTGCAGAGCAGCCCATGGACCACCACTGCACTGCTTCCTGAAGCCCACAGCAAGCAGGTCTGGAGAGTAAGTTGCAAGAGTGGTCCTCTCTAGTAGAACAAGAGCACAAGCACACACTACTAGTTTGTCCCACTTACTATTATTTCTCCACGTATTTTTTTTTCTCTTTTCTCCTCCTTGTAAAAAAAAAAATTCATTTTGGGAATAAAGCTCTCCTTAAAGACAGGAAAACTCACGCTTGTTAGTCTGAATAAGGGATGTGCAAAACAGGAGTCATTTCCCTGAGGCAAAGATCAAGTCATGCCTAGCTTACATTGTCTATTCCTATTTCAAGCTGTTGAAATATTTGGCACAATGAGGCCTTGATCACCAACTGAGTCTCGTGGCATTATCACAGTCTACATAATATATTTATATAATAAAGTAGAAGTTACAAATGCTTCATTCGCTCATTCTGTTTTGGTTTCTCACAGTCATTTATTAAAATCCCTTTCCTTCTCAAGGGTGGCATTGGGTCTCCTGGGCAGGAAGGTAGAGTGACAAACTTCTACTGTATTTAAAAGTTGCCACGAATACTGAGCACCTAAAAGGGCAATTGCAGTAGTTATTGGACCCAATACATGGAATAATAGGGTAAAAAATAATAGCCTGTTACATACAGGTCAAAGGTAGGTGATTTAATAGTCTCTTCTTGACTCACATTATGAAAAACATCCAGGGAGATTAAAAAAAAATCATGTTATGAATGCTTCCAGTCTAAAACACATAAGAAGCAAAGCTCGAAACCAAGTCTTTCCAGCCTTCCCTTTTAAAATACAAATTGCACTTTTTTTTTTTTATACAAAGCAATCCAAAGTCTGAATTGTAATAAAAATTTGAGGCTGCCTTGCTGTACCAAAGAGTATTTCTGTTCACCATCTGAAGTACAGGCAACTAGTTTTCAGCCATTCTGCATATAGAGCCATATGCTCTACTGCCTTCTGCTTTACAAGGGCCTGACATTAAATGCTGTGCCACTGGGTGGGTACTGAATAAAAAAAAAAAAAAAAAAAAAGAGTTTAAGGCCTTTATCTCCACAAGGAGCTGAAAACTGTGGCACAACCCATGACCAATACTTAACACGGAAATTAGCACACTCCCACCCAGGGCTCCAAAAATCAGTCATTCTTTCTAATGTTTGTCACACAAGACAATCATACCATCAGCAAGCAACAGTGCCAGTTAAGCATTTTTAAGGTCTTCAAAAATTCATAGCAAAGGGCACTTCTGAGAAAGATAATCTTAAAGATTTGGTTTTAAAAATAGACACCACACTCACATTCAAGGGACATTCTTCACTTCTAGGCCTTTGTCACAAATCTGAATCTTTATTGTTCTGAAATAAATGCTATAAACATAAGACTCAAAACAAGAACTCCAACTTTCAGTCTCAGAAGAGGTGTGGTTCAATGCCCATATCACGTGTAACAAGAAATTTTCCTTAAAAAAGGAAAAAAATTACTGCAAAGTCTTTCTTAAGAATGAAAATGCAATCCTTTGTTTGTCTCATTAGTTTGTGTACAGGCGGGCACCAAAAAAACTTTTGCATTTTCTTTTGAATTCTTGCTATGACGCTTGACGAACTTTTTGCCATTCAACAAATTCATCCAGAAGTACAGGCCCTGCAAATGGATGAAACTTGGAGTTATATTTGCCAATGTCTTTCAAACATCTTCTCTTAAAGTATGAAGGTTAAAACTATTGGTCTAGGTAACATCCATGTCAATCCTATGGTCAAATACTTATGAAGACTCAAAGATGACTACAATAATTTCAATCCAAGGGTGGCCCAAAGTGCACAAATAACACTACACAGAACTATGGAAAAAAGCATTCCTGACATATGACCGGTGCACTGAACTGAATGGAAAGCCTAAAAATATGGTTATACTGTAAATCAGCACAACTAATTCCTTCTTCCTAGAGATTTCAAAATCACACATAATTAGAACACAGACCAAAATGGGATGCCTAATGCAATTCAGTCATAGTAGGCTTGACTATCAGCCAGGTGTAGAGTTCAGCCACAAGTACCAGCAACTAGGCTACTCTATAGCTAACTAGAGTTTATTATACGTTAGTATAAAATGGGAGATTGCTGTTTACAATTCTATTTGCAAGTCCATAGTTTCATGTAGCAAGCAGCTTCACTAGATCCTCAACCGAATATAAATCGGCTCAAGTACCCCATCATACTCCTGACATACTACTACAATTAATATCTGCAGTTTGAAGATAGATGGTTATCAGGACAATTTTTCTATGCATTGTTGGAGAAGAGATACTTTTACCTTAGAGTATTATTTCTGTTACAGAAATTTGTTTTATGCAAATTGAAAATACTGAAATAACAGTTGAATAAACAACATGTTATGAATACTTACATGCACCATCTTCATCATAGTTGCTAAGATCTGCATGGACAGTTCTGCTGAACTCTAGCACATTGTACCACTGATCCTTGTTCATAACTCTATACTTCGATTGCTAGGGAAAATAATTTCAGAACATTAAAATGTCAGGTGGTATTGGGTAATGCTGCATCTCATTTCTTTCATTTTATCTTCAATCAGTTCCTAACAAATAATTTAATGGGTAACAGCTACTATTTCCTTGGTTTTCCACTTTTAAAAAGACCACACACATACACATATTTCATAGTTATGAAACTACCTTAAATGGTTTCTTGAAAGATCAGAGCAAAATGGAAATACCAGGGAATCAGGAAGTCACCACTCTTAAGTTTCAAAAACTGGTAAATTTTTATCTTGCCCTGAAGTGGGTCAATACCTAGCTCGGATAATTTCCCGAATGAACTATTACAAAAATCTTCTTTTCTCCAGGGTACAATACAGTATGATCATAAGGACATCTACTTTACAACATCGGTACTGATTTGAAGCCAGGGAATAGTATGAAGCATAGCATGCTCCACAACCTACACGTCCATGTTACTAAGTCACTTGCAGTTGAGCTGACCAAAATCTTCCAAAGACAGCCAGAGCTCAAGGTACCTATGTACTGTATCTACACAAAACAAACTTGAAATTCAGCTGAAGAGACTACTGGGGCTCTATTATTTAATTTTAAATTTACCTTTGTAGTCTAATTAAGAGAGAATTTTAGTTGCCTTTGATAAGAGACAGGAGGCTGAGGCACAGGAAGGGAGAAAAGGATTTGTGATGCATACCAGAACATCACAGTTTCATAAGCATCGAGCAAGGGAAGAGGAGCAATATAGATACATTCTTGAGCAAAACAGAACAAACCCTGAAATCTTTTCACAGAACAGCCCAACTACTATGCCATCATTCAGAAAGTCAAGGAAACTTGTACCTCAAGGTATTGATAAAATACTGAAAACAGTGGCCAAGTTCTTCCAAGCAGAAGAGCTAACATGGATTTTGCAGTATCAATATCAAGACTTCGCTGGTCTTTATCCTAAGGTTGAATAAAGAAAGCACAAAAACCACTCAAGTACAAGCTTGTTGAATAATTAAAGTAAGAACTTCTCTAACATTCCAGTAGTCTTACCCTTGCAAAATCAAAGGCATATCTGTAGATATTCTTAAAGGATGAAATGTCATTCAATTGTGACCGCAGGAAGTCAAATTTACTCTGCAATTTTTCTGTACAGTCACACCTTAAAATAAAGAAAAACAAAGGACGTTAGAAGTTCAAAACACCACATTTGGATAATGAAAAAAATTCCATCAAACATAAAAATTAAAATCACTAAAATGCAATCATCATATGTATAGGAATAATACTATGAAAGTGACTTAAAGAACACCAAACATGCTCAACATTTGCAGCTTACTGAAATTATGAATGCCTGGCTTCTGTAAGCAAGTTTTTTTTTTTTTTAATGTATCAGCAACATAACACAAAGTCTCTGCTTTACTTCTCAAATAGTAGTCTTTTCATGCCATAGTCTGCAATTTAAACTCATACCCAGCACTACCTTATCTTTCAATCACTATGAAAGTGTGCATTAAGGTGGTAAAATCCAGCTATAAATAAGAGCTTTATGCCCTATCTCTTTGGAAAAAAAAATAAACCCTAAACACACACTTCAAGACTACATATTTACAAGTGGCAGGATTGAGCAGGCACTCTGCAAAACTCTGCTCATGTTTTATGACTGATAAATGCAAGCTCTGATAAGCCTATCATCTGGATTAGTCAGTAGCTATTCAACTGAAAACTCACAGGCTGTACAAGAATGTACAGGTCTGCTAGTTGACAGGATAACCCTTTCGCAGAAAAGAAGATCTCTAATGTGTTTTACTTAGTAAGGACTTCTGTTTCCAAACAGAAAATGGGTTATATTTACTAACAGTGGCAGAGGAAAATATAATTTACACATGCTAATCCTCCAGGAAAGACTCACTCAAAAGAACCGTTGTTACATTATACCACATTTTATTCTTATAAAATAATAGCTGCTGTAAGAAAAAAAAAAAAAAAGAAATAAAACATCCACCTTGGCCCTGTATCCTCTCTGATAGAAGCAAACCTTTCAGAAATGCAGATGTACGTAAATATTTCCTTTGGTTGTGTCCCCCCCTTCTGGCAGCCTCCCCATCAGAGAACACATCTGCATCTTTAACAGCTCCTTATGGACTTGTCACAGCAGCTCACACCAAGAGCCCTTCAGGAGTACCGCAGCAGGTTGCCGAGATGCTGTACTTTGCCCACAGTCAATACCCCCTGTTCCTCAGGTCTGCTAGCCTGTGTGTGCATGTGTCTGCCTGTCCCTCTCAGAACAGTTGCAAGAAATGCAGCAGTTCCAGCTGATGGAGTCTTTTGTTATTTCTTGTCTCTAGCAGCATCTACCCAAAGCAGCACTGAATCCTAGCTGCGATCAGTGCTAAGAAAATAAAACTATTAGCTAATTAGACCGCATATTCAGATGACAAGAACTAATATATTTTGCAATAAACCATGCATTAAGTTGGAAAGTAACCTTATTAAAAAAAGCTTCGGTAAATTTAACTAAAAATACAATTACTTTTGTCTTCAGCCATCTAATCAGTCTACACAGTCTATTGTTTAACCCTTAAAAGAGTATTATGTTATGCTATAAAGGTATCTCATTTTATATTCATATCTCTTTTTTTCTGTATTCAGACCTTCATATGCAGTAACACTGTCCTCTACATTTGAGGACAAATCTACCTATTTAACACCTAACTAAATGTTTATGCTGGTATTGTGGTAATGACAGATATAGACTACTTCAAGGGGGTTTACCACACATTGTCAAATATAATTTGACTGAGATGCTTTACCATACCATGGATAAACACAAATTTCAGTATGCTTACATTTCTTCAAAATATTTTGTTAAAATCATTCAAATAATCATAAATCTAACTACAAAGTAAAATCCCTGTTATTGTCTACTGTACTATGGCTATATGTATTTTAATGCAGAAGTGATTCTCTTGAAAAAGTTGGTATGAAAATGTGCAATTATTAAGCCTTAAGACTCCTGAGCTATTGTCAACCTATTTAAACCCAAACAGTCAAACAGCTCATCCTCAGAGACAGATACTACGCCCTGATGCCCGATGCAGGGACATCTCTCTCAAAGCCATTTAAGGCATTTCCATACCTGGCCACTGATTTTCTTCAAACTAGTGCAGTAAGGAGCTGTCAAACTCCTCTTTTAGAGAGATATAGTTGCTTGTGTGGCTATACCATAAACATGACTGAGGTCACACATACTTAAAAAAAAGTTACTATTAGGAAGATTATTCTAAGTCAGAACAACCTTCTAATTAGCACAAGTGAATTAACACCAAACTCCTGTAACAGAGACTAGAAAAAAAGATATGCTTTCTTGTACTGCCTTTACTGATAATGCTAAACAAGGCTACCTCAAGATCAACAAAACTAGTCATTAGCTTACTACATTCTCTTTACATCCCTACATCACATTTAAAACAAAACTTTAATCAGCACCACAAAGCAGTCCTATTTTGACGTCTATTGAGGTAGAAACTTCATTTGAGGCATAGCTAACATGGACAGAGTAATGATTTAATAACTCCTACTTAGATATTCCAATGTTTCATATTTCATAATTATACACACATGCTTGTCCCTTACTAAAAAGGAAAATTAGTAAAATGCATATGAACATTATATATTACCATTAAATACTTTTAGTTTAAAGTAGTTTGAAGGTCTTTTAATCTACGAAAGAGATCCCCTGCCATCATCCAGCCCTCCAGATGGACAAAAGGAAATGCTATCCATCTAGCCTATCCACTCTTTTCAAGCATTGAAACAGGATCTTCTGAAATGTAGTTTCCATGTTATAACTGGAGTACACAGAGGTCTAAGGAAATAACAGCTTAAAAGAGCAAAGAGACATCTTTTCCATGTCCTGATAATACTATAGTTTCACTATGTCAATTAATTTCTGGTCTCCTCACCTGTAAATCGTTCAGACTCCAGTATACGTTGAATGATACACTGGCATTAAAAAAAAAATTCATTTATACTATGCTTTGTGTTAGCCTCACAAACATTAACAGAAAGGCAGTAATAAGCAAAAAACTTGTTGCAAAAGCAGCTGATATTAGGCTATCATTAAAACCAACCCCAAAAAGTTGTTTTTGCTAGTAATTCTGCAAACAGAAAAAAATTACAAACCTGAACTTACTAACCCTCTCTCAGGAGGTTTCTCTTGTACCTAAAAATGTGAGATCATAACCTTACCTTTCCCTCAGCTGGAATCTAATTTGGCTCTCTCCCCTTTACCTGGCCACTCATTTTCAAAAGCTCAACTTTAATGTAAAAGTCAGCTCAAACTCCAAGGTTCAAAAAAAAAAAAAAAAAAAAAAAAAAAACCAAAACCAAAAACGAGCCAGAGGGAAGTATTCAGACAATACAGCTGCTTATACCTCACTTTCTTACACACAAAATTGTTTCTATTTACCTAGTTCAAACAATGACTTCTGTGGAGTTTAATAAAATCGTGAACTGTAATCCTTTTTCCTTCACATTCATTTTTTAACCAGATTTTTTTTCCCCCTTTGTAGGTCTGTAAAGCCTACAACTGACCAATACATGAGTATGCTTCTCCTTTAACTCAGCTACATAAAGTTAAATGCTCAACTCTAAGTTACTCACCCTCCAATGGCTTTAAAGCAAATGCAGATAAAGAGTCACTTCCTGAGGGCTATTAATTTCATCCTGAGGAGGCGTCTAAAATAGCTGTAATAAATTGCCCAGAGGTACTTGTTTCTCTCCGTTGACTATGAAAAGAGCTTCAGGTGTTTAATTTAGATTCAGGCACCCTGCATTCATATATACACACACACATATATATATGGTAGAATTCACCCTACCAACATGATATACCAGAAACCTCACCTTCGCAGCTTGTTTAAGTTTCATAAGCAGCTACTTAGCGCTTGATCCGCCTTAATTTTGACAGTGTATACATTATCACATATTTATTTTTCTCCTCCTCTCTAAAGAACAAACTTCATCAGCGTATCACAAAACCACACACAAAAAGAATGCCACTTCAAGATTCAAGCACCCAAATGTTGGCATCTAACTGTAGATTAGATTTAGGTGTTGTCATTCATAGAGGTCTAGCAAACCAACCTGAAAGAGCAATTCAGGTGACCAGTCACTAGGTCTTAGGGCAAACTGCATACCTCCCTAGGCTCCACTACATCAACTAGATCTCCAGACATTGCAGTAAGAGTTTAAGAAATGCAGCTCTTGCATATAAACCACGCATTTAGGTGTCTTATTACGGAGCTGAATTCCACCCAACTCTGTTCATGCAATTACCTTATGTGACATTTCACACATTTTGAAATAAGGATTCTGTAATATAAGTCAGACTTAGAATACACTCCAGGCTTTTAATGCATTTCAATGTCATTTCTTCATGCAAACGTTAAACAAAAAATGCTGTGCTAGAATGTAATAATACTCTATTGCTTTAACAGTGTAAGATCCTTCTTCTTCAGAACTTCTGTCAAACCTTTCAAGAGAAACTAGATTCCTCTATCCCAGATAGAATCCCATAATATGATCCTCCTTTCCCAGTAAGCATAAGCAGCACAAGTTGACAGATTAATATTCTCTTTTTAAGCCAACAAATCCTGAATTCCTTTATGTGAGTGTCACTACCTCATCCAGATGCTTAGTTTACTGCCTTCTATTACAGCACACCCACGGGAAGCAAAACATACAGGTTATCTGGTCTAGGCTAGGCAAGCCCTTCGATCACAAGTCTGTTTATATAAAAATACACAGCAGTACCATATTTTCTGTCTTCAACACCTTTAGCTTACAGCATGACCAGCTTTGTTCTTAAAAGAACCAGAAGATTCCTAATCACAGCAGATTATTAGAAACAAAGTCTATAATATTGGCTCTGAAGAGATGCCTATTTCATATGTTTTTCTGCTTGCATTCCACTAGACTGGCTAACTCTTGACAGCTCCCATTTGGGCATAAAAATTAAGTACTTCAGAGAAGTGACCAAATTATACCCATTCACTGCATCTAAAAATTCATGCACCTGAATTGATTCTGGGGGCCACGCACCCAGAATTTAATCTCCATCATCATGAATTTCAGACAATTTAATCATTCCAGCTCTGACTAAATTTAAGAGCTTCTGATAGTCACAAAACAATCAAGGCATCTATCAGAAGTCTAATCCCAAATGAAACAAGAAAGGCCAGAGTCACTTACTCATTCTCGCATAACCAGAGAGTATCTCCCAATACAATTTCCCAAACCAATTCACAATTGATAAGGCAATTGTGCCAACTCCAAGGATCAAACCAGCCCCTCCTTCCCACCATGCTGTAGCTGCAACAGTAGCTCCCTGACATTTTTAATATTGAATGCAGTGTCATAACAAGTGACTGTGAAAACAGTCATGTACCATAAGTGGTTCCATGAAGAACAAACAAAAAGCAACAACTGAACTAAGCCTCACAAGAAGTTGATTAGTTTCATGAAAGAAACAACCTCTTTAGGCAGAGCATTATCTCACCAAACATTCTTACAAACAGAAGATATTTATTTATAAATTGAAAAAATGTTATTTAACCTAAGAATTAAGCACAGCTTGAGACCTGCATCTAATAAATAACACTAATAACTAAAATTATTATCAACGCAGTCCTCATCTATAAAGCTTAGAAAGCAGTAAAAATTTTCTAGAGTATCAGTGCTGAGATATGCTTATGGGTATCTCCAATCTACTTATTTGTGTCTGCTAACTAGAATGATATTGTAACACACTTTTTGTAAGAAAAAGAAGCCACCAAAACCTGACTTAGTAGGCTTAGACAAAACTTTATCATTTGTGTGAACTCAGCAGATTCACAACTTGATGAGCAACAACAGTAGCTGCTTCTAGTTGGTGACCAGGACCAGTCCTAAAAGCAAGACTTTCTGTATCTTATTGCCAATGCACAAGAAACTGAGGGCAAGAATAATGAAGCTACTGGTACAAACATAAAATTAGAACATTCTATTATACATGTAAAAACACTCTTACTGTAATGAGGTCATTCCTTTTAACCATTCTTCCTTGGTAAAAAATCCCATGCTTTCAGCCTCTAGTTTCCAGGCTAAAACTAACATAATAATCTAAGGGAAAAAAAACACAAGGGAAGAAAAAGGAATCAGTATATAAGAAAAGACTAATTTCTAGATGTCCAAGAAGAAAACTCCAAGCATTCAAACATTCTAACAATTGTTGTACATGCTTGCACTTCATATGTGTTACCATTTAATAATTCAGCTAAGTGCAATCTCTCCCTTAATTTCAATTTCTGAAAATGAAGTATTACTATAATAAAACAAACAAAACCCCTCACACAACAGCCACGCACAATTAATTTAGCTGAAATATCTTAGAACAGTTCCTGAAAGCAGGAGGATAAACAACTCTTCGCTTACTGAAGTTAACAATTTTACACAGAACTTAGTCTTATCCAATATCACCTTGTAAAGTGTTACCAGTATTGTCAAGAAACCTACATTTTCAGGCTCAACACCGATGTCTTCACAGAACTTTTCCATTCCTTCAGGCCCCACAACTTCATCAGGACCTTCAAAACCAAAAAGAAATCAGACTGAAATCTAAGTAACATTCACTGCTCACATGGGTTACACACAACAAGAATTAGACTATATTTCATACAAGTTATCTTTAAAAACACTGAATTACATTATATAAAGTAGTAGTAATGGTTAGAACCATTACATCAACTGCAACATGGAGACATGTATATTACATATGAAGTAACACTATGAACTAAAAGCAAAACTAAACCAGAACTTTCATGTTGTGCACTGCCTCCCGCCAACAGCAGACAAGCTATTTTAGTTCGTGTATGTGAGTTTTCATAAGACTCCACTGAGCTTTATACTAACATAGCTCAATTCCAGTAACTGGGGGGGTCAATTGTTTTTAAGACAACATGGGTACCGCTACTCTGTGCTGAAGTTATTCTATGAATAGTGTTCTTCAAAGACATATTTTATCAACAATAAATAAAAAAAGAATCTGTCTGAGCTACTATTACAGATATTACTCTTTCAATGGTGTTCACATTATGGGTTTGCACTAACACAGAAAAGGATGAATTTTCAAATAATGTATGTTTAGTTTTATCATGCTAAGTAATATGAGGAGAGTGATAACAATACATCAGAAAAACGTTAAGCACGTTAGCCCTGTACAGAGCAGAAAAAGGTTTATGACCGCAATGAAAATAACTTTATTAGGACCACAACAGTTAGTGTTATGCTGTCATTTTTCCATTTTAATATGAAGAAAGCCTCTAAAAAGCAGCAAAATAGCATATTTATAGAACACACACAGACACGCCCTACAATGCTTGGTTTCTCTGAATCTCTCTCTGGTTTCAGTTATTTTGGCTAAGTCTTTTCCAAAAATGATTCCTACTGGGCAACCAAACACTATTAGAAGGCCTGTTGAGATGCTATTTTGATGTGTCTTGGATCATTATGTTAACATTGTTTTAGCAAATATGAACCAGGTAAAAGGTAAAGGCATTATCTTCTAAAACAACATGCCATTTTTACAATTTTTGGCAAATGTTGCTCTTTATACATAGACAGAACAGTCCTTTTTTTTTTTTTCCTTCCACTTTGATGATACCTGTCTCTACTTCATCTGTATCCGCTGCTGTTATTTTAAGTGGAATTCTTTTTAAGAGTTTGGATAACGTACTTTTAATAATTACTCACTGTGAGATAAGAACATAGTCAATAAAAGCTATTGAGAATGGCTACTTTTACAGGAAAATAAAATGCAATTGGCATTTAAGATCATGAATCCCCACCTCTTGAAAACCGTTGCAAAGAAGATTTTGCCTAGGTAAGCAAAGCAAAACGCTGCCATCTAGTTTTGAGAAGCCCTTACACAGAATGTGTTTAAAAAAAAACCACGCAAGTTTAAGTTATGAAGAGAAACATATACAAGGGTTCACTGGTAATAACAAGTATAAACTTGAATCAGATTTTTGGCCCAGAAATCGTATGTACAATTCATATATATGTGTGTGTGTATGTAATTTTCTCTTTTAATGGAAACCTTTAATCTCCTATGGTGTATAATTTCACTGGAATTCTATTTCATGCTAGAAACACGGCAGATTTTGATTGTTGGTTAACTGACAAAGTATAACCTCCTACATTCAGTTCTTCACTCAACAGCAAAACCAGAATTTACAGGCCTTAAAAAAGTTAAAAGTATGTGCAGGTACATTAACAGAAGAAAATTAACTGAGAATTTTTTTTCCTCAGAAAAGACTCTTTACTCCAAAATAGCATGCCTCAAACCTAAATTAGAAAGCAGATTATTAGAATCAGGAGTAGTTCATTACTCTGGAAAGACTGCAAGGAAAATATTAGTTTTGATAAATATGCTCAAACCAATTGCTGGCAGATAAATCATCAGCTCATTTCATACTAAGAACTGGCCATTAATGAGTTTTAATCACCAACTAGTTTTGATGGACTTCAAGTAGCGATTAGACAAGAAATTAATAACAGTTTACAGGTCCTGAATTTCTAACCCTATAATTGCTAAATAAATGGCAGTAACAGTCTAATAAATTCTGCAAAATATACTGCATATTCATGAAAGCAACTATTACTTGGATAGCAATTTTGATTTGAGAGAGGCTAGACCTAACACTTTTGAATGAAACATCTGTTATTTAGAATATCAAAAATGTTAGGGCAGATTCTCCGATAGGAAAAACAGTCCTAATAAGCATCTATTATTTTATTTTGTAAAATAGAAAACCAAGGGGCTCAAATCATGACTTATTTCATTATCCTTCCAATTTGATTATAAACAAGGTCTAGTTAGATAAATAAACTTAGATATAAGTTCTCTTTCAGTGTCCTGACTTCTACTTGTCCATTTCAAATCTAGAAGTAGAATTGTTCAGTATATCCTGGTGCAACACTGTACTGTCCAACATCCGTTATTTCACTTTAAAGAGCACCATGGTAAGTTATAGAGCATAGAGTAAAGAAGTCAAAAAGAACAAATACTGAAAAGGTGATAGTAAAAGCTCTATTAATTCAAGTGCATGTTAAAAGGAAGCAAATACAGACATATTTATGTCTACATCAGCATAAAAACCAAAATGGAAATAATATTTCATGTATTCATTTGTTTTAAATAAAACCATATAGTTTGATATGAATCCATTGCATATTACCTGCATATTCATAAAACCAAGCCAGGCACTTTTTGCTTGAAAAATGTTCCTCTCCACTTATGACTTTACCAGAGGCTTGTGATCTGCAATAGCTTATAGAAACACAAGGATGATTTTAATACGACGAATGGGACATAATTTAAAATTAAATTCCAAATAGTTTATTATTAAACTGTTTGACGAAGTCAATATACATCAACAATGAAGCTTTATTTGTTAAAGGGCAACTGTCTGTCATCCTATTTCAACACTTGTTAGAACATAAAGTTACCCTGAAACACAATCCTCTGATAGCCAAATTTGTTACATCTATTATTTTTTCTGAAATGCAAAAGTACTGTTATCTTGTAGATATTAAACCAAAAAACCCACACACAGATGGTCAAAATATCACTACTCAGTAATTCAAATGCCTTATTATCTACTTATATTTTTATATGCAGGCATTTAAAGTTAGGTCTCTAATAAGCAGCATGATCTTCAAGAGTGCTGAATATGCACACATCCCATTTAGGTCAACAGGAGCTGCAGAGTTTGACATATTTAAAAGCCAGGCTATTTATAGTTAAGCATCCAAATTTGGGAAGAAAACTCGGCCAATTTGTTTACATTAAACATGTAACTAAATATCTGTAAATTCTATAGATGTTTGGTGTACATACCAGAATAGTAATATGCAATCTATGCTAAGACTAAAACTGCTCAGCACGCACAGCTTCCCCCCTACATTGTTTTCATTATGCAACACACAACACAGTTTGCCTAGGAAGTGAATTTTCATAATTTATCATTCTTTAAAAGACTACATAGAATAACTGATTTTTTCCAGTAAAAACACTGACCACATGAAAGCATCATTAGCCAGTGAGGAGTTGCAGCACCTTTTCAATACATGCTCCTTTCAAACACAAGTTACAGACGTTTCGAACAAGCTAAAATTATTTCTAAGAATGAAGTGGAAGTTAATTGTATGAGAGGATTTAAAATTATGCAGCTCCTACATTGCAATTTTAAAATGAAAACGTCAAGCAGGGAAAGAATAGTTCAATTCTGAGAGGTGGTGAACAACTTTATCTCCCTTGTACTGCCTTAAGCTTCACTGGAAAAGAAAGCAATGCTCTCCCAGATAGAGCATTATGTACTAAAAGCAAGAATTAAAGATGTACTACAGACAAACATCCATTAAAGCGCCATTAAAAACACAAGTCACCAGAAAGAAACAGAGCCATATAGTATGCTATTGCCTGTTGGTTTTATCCAGTTTAACATACACCCACTTGTAATCACTGGTTTTATTAAATAATATTAGCAATATATTGCTACATAAGAATGCCACATCAAAAACGCTTGTGTATAACATTTTGTGATCAGCTAGAATGAACTCTCATTTACATCATAGTTTCTGCCCAATGACTAATAGCTTCCTGTAAAGTGTTTTGGGGTTGTTTTTTTTTTTTTTCTTTCTTTCTATTGAGGAGCTTTCAAGAGATTTTTATAAAGTAACAGAAATTAAGATCATAAAATCTTGGTCAGCGGTGTTCAAGAAAGATGAACTGAAACTAGAACAGATGCAAAGACTCAGCTACAACGAGCAAGGAAACTGAAAAATCTGCATTACAAACCAGGATTTAGCTTGTTTCGTTTAACAAAATAAAGTATAATAAAACATAAGCTGTCACTCCCAACACACTATGAGGCAGAACCATGAGGGAGAAGTGTTATATTAAAGGGTATCACAGGCACAAGAACTGTTATTAACTGGCTATGAATAAATTTAGACTGAAACTAAATGATCATTAATGACTGCATAAAGTGAGCTCTGGAACAGTTATCCAAAATGAACAGTTGTAGCAAAATAAAAAGCCTGGGAACTTCTCAGCTCAAGCTTGGTCAATCTATGAGAAAGGCCATACGCCACAGTGTCTTGCAATAGCCATTCCTGTAGCACCGATTTCGTAAGTCCTTTGTATTCTTATGTCCTCAGGACGTTTGTCATAACTACTGGTTTACTGACATACTTGAAAAGTTCTAATAAATGAAGAAGGCATACAGTTACTTTAGGGAAGCCACACTGGAAGCTTCTGCTACACCATACTAATGGTTTATCATTCTAACCGTAATTGTTGGATATCATGACATAAGCAGTCTTTTTATGGCAGTTAACGAACAAGATGCTCAGACTCCTGTATTTATTAGAAAAACCTTTCCTGATTTTGTTTTGGAGTGTGCTGACCTCTCCTTCCATTTCACTGGAAAAAAAAAAAAAAAAAAGAGACGGTTTAACACAGACACTCCACGAGTATCGGGAACCTTAAAAGGAGACCTGCCTACCCTGGGCAGAAGCTTAGAATGAATACGGGGACAAACGCTGGAACGGGCCCTGTACAAGGCAAAGCCCGCAGGGGATGGCAGCAATTCCGTAGCGTTTCTCCCGAGGCTGAAC